ATAATACATATTTTTTTAAAATCTACAGAAAGTATATGAAAATATATCTTAGAGCTTTATCCCACAAAATGAATGTCATTATCAGTCACCATAGTCATGAGGCAAATTAGAAAGAACAGGTGGCTTCATGGTAAGGAATTGTGCTGCCAGTGTAATGGAAAGTTTTTCAAATCCACCAGCTGCTCTATAGGGGAAAGATGGACAATCTCCTCCTAAGCAATTTACTGCCTATGAAAACCTGCCAGAGGGTCAGCTATGGATCGGTTGTGATTTGACAGTGAACAACAGCAGAAAGAACAAATGTTTTCTCCGTGAAATTACTAAAACTTTTTCAATGACTATCTGTTGTGTGCTTCTTCTATAAGATAACATGAAAAGAGAATAAGCATTTCTGTTTTAAAACTATACATTAAAATCTATGCAATGTGCTGGTTTACCTTTCATTTCAACATTAAAAGATGAAATGCAGTTAAATAATCCACAAATAAGGACAGTATATAGGCACCGGGCATCCAAATTAATGAAAGCCATATCTCCACGTTTTAACACTTTAAAACCTCTACCCTAAAAGGGAAAAGATAGAACATTTGAGTATTATCTCACACTGCATAATCAAAAGACACTGTGATTTAAAACGCTTTTGGGGGGCTGTCTATGTGTTTTCTAGCAAGAAGTGTGAAAACAGTTTCCTCAGACCATGGCAGAAAACATGTTTAATATTGGACTGAAAAAAAAAATAGTGAGTATTTTAGATTTATCCTTCTTTGGAAAGTAAAAGTCTTGAAACATTTCACCCACACACTCCCTTTCTACACATCACATGAGATTACCAGGAGCAGATGGTTTTAAGCAGACTTCAGGCCAAAGAGATTTAGACTCACTAGAATGTTCATAATAGTTTCCAGGAGAAATTATAACATCTTTAGTCTATCAATCCTGTCCCATAGCAAGACAGAAAACAAAATGACAAATGCACACATTCTACTCTGAGTGGATAACAAAGTATTTAAAAGTTATCTATTAAAAACAACAAAGCTCTCTCACTATTAAGAAAATTCAAATCCTATATCAATGCTTCAGATCATTTAGAACTTTGTTCTGTTTCTTTCTAAGCATGAAATCATTGTCTTCTATTCGCCTACCTGTTCCACTTTGTGCTGTGTTTCCTGTGGCATTAAAGGGTAACACCATCTTCTCAGTTGTTCAAATAAGAAACCGAGAAATAACCCCAATTCTTCCCTCTCCTACTCAATCATTGTTGCTTTGTTGTTAGTTACAGTGTCATGGCAAGCTTATGGGTAACAGAACAAAATGTTGCCTGCTCTTGTGCCATCAGCAATACAATTTCCTAAATTGAGAGATCTCCTTGCCCTGTCTCCCATATGCTCTCTAAATGACTATTCTGGAATTACTTCCCCTTTTTGAAAACCACAACACCACCTCACTGCCACACCACATAATAGAATCATTGTTTTTACTCTTGAATAATATTATTCTATGGTCAAAATTGAAAGAATTAAGACTTCCACATTTCTCCGCAATCCCAAAATATTCCCCTTTCAAAGAAGAAGAAGAAAATACTATTCCCATTTCCCTTTAGTGAATGTCTCTGGAACTAAGAATTTCACAGGTAGCTAAGGATTAAGTTACTCATTCCGAAAGTCAGAGAATACCTTTTTCTCTTACCCTGCTTAATGAAGCAAGACAGTCTTCATTCAAGCTGCTTCATCTTGCCTAGTTCATCTGTAATGCTTGAATGTTGCTAGGCGTCAATTATTATGTAATAGAATCTTGGAATCAGCTACTAGAGACAGCAGGTATATTGGATGTAATGCTGGTCCAATCCTTCTTTATATACTGGGAAGTGAAACTGAGACTTTTCCAAGATTACACAGCAAGTTAGTAACTGGGCTGGAAGTAGGACAGAGATTGCATGATTCCCAGTCCAGGGCACTAATACCCTGCTATTCAGTCCCACATGCTTGAGTCAGGATTATGCAAGTTTTCCCCCTGAGACCCCATTCTTCCTTTAAATAGTTGTTAACCAGGCTGAGTCAACATCATGGCATTTTTATTTCTTCTCTGCCTCATAAACTAATAACATAATATGGGTTAGTTTGGGGGTTGTTTGGTCCCCCCCCCCGACTAGGATCCAAATCTCCCTTGTTTGCTCCTTCCCCACTTACCAGCTCCTTGCTCTCCACTAAAGTATCTGTAAATACTAGGTAGCTTTGGTTACCAGAAGGCTACAGCTCTTCCATAAAGCTGTTTTCATAGATTGAGGTGAACATCTTGATTAGTTTTCCAACTCCAAGGTATTAATGCCAGCAAAGAGAAGTCTTTTCAGATTCTCTACAAGGTCTAAGACAATTAGGCTCTTCTCAAAATGTTCTCAGAGAGAGCCTAACAAGAGTCTCTCTCCCCTCACAATTTGTCCTTAGCTATTTAACAGCACTGCCATGAGCGCTAATAAATGCTAAGTTGTTTTTCGTTGCTTGTTATTGAGTCAGCTCCTACTCGTGGCAGCCTTAATACATGCTAAGTGAAGAGTTAAAATAATTTTATTCTATTCCATTTATAGGATACTGAAATCTGACTCAGGTGATTAAGTTGCATTTCCTGGATCAGTCCGACACGTTTAGACAAAGGTAGGAAATGGGATAGCTTCTTAAGTCACTTATTTATAAACCAACACAGGATTTCCTGAGTTTCTGATTTACATCTGGCATATACTCTAACCTCTCCCTCTCATTCTTTTATTTTTTTTTTAACCCAGATGACAATTCTTTTCTTGTCTTCTGGATTACTAGTAGTCACTAGTATAAGGAAGGCCTTAGTACATGGCATGGTTACAAGGAAGACCTGCCTGAGATTTTTCACAAGGAGAAAGGGGACTTGAAGATACAAAAAGGAGGCGAAGAGAACTATGGACCTCCAGGAAAACAAATAGGTCTGTCTTGGAGAGGATGAAACCAAGTTTCTCCTTAGAGGCTAGAATTTTGAAACTCCGTCTCACATACTTTGGGCATGTGGCCAGGAGGAACCAGTCCTTAGGGAAGGGCATCATGCTTAAAAGAGTGGAGGGACAGCATAGGAAAGGAAGACTCCAGATGAGATGACTAGGACAGTGGAGGTAGGTGTGTCAGAAGTCAGTGAGACTGGCTCAGGACAGGGTAGGCTTCAGAGTTGTTGTACATAGAGTCGCTATGAGTTGCAGGCAACTTGACGGCATCTAACAACAACAACAACAGGGAACTCTGATGATGTACTACATCACTACCCAAAAGGGAAGGAGTTTGAGTCTACCAGTCCCTCTCCAGCAGTAAAGAGTTCCCACCTTGGAAAGAGATGTAGCTGTGAGTTGGAATCAACTTGACAGTAGCAAGAGCAGGCCAGAAAAAGTTACTGCCATGCTTTCCCTCCTCAGTCCATAGTTAACAACCACACGTGGTTTTTTTATTCATTTTCCTAAATGAGGATATTAACACCCAGCATTTAGTAAAACCCAATGTTAGAATGAGGCAACAGCATCCAGTTACATCCAAGTTCACACATCTTACTGGTAGCAGAGCTACAACTCTAAACCAGCTCTCATTAACCCCTTCCAGTTGCGGTTGTTACTGTTGCTACATGCCATCAAGTTAGAATGGACTCATAAGTGATCTTTCAGCAGGTTTTTAAAGGCAATACGTCACATGGGAGGAGATCACACATCTTTAGAAAGTAGAGTGGATTCAAACCACTTGCCTTTGGGTTGGAAGTGCAACTCCTTACCCCCAGGGGACCAGAGCTTCTTCCATTGCTTGGTAAAGCATGTTTGCTTGGTTTATCATAAAGAATCTGTCCTGCATGAGTGCTGACAAATCCCTTCAAACTTCTTTACGCTATTGTCATCACCCAAACCATCGCCCCACAGTGTTTTCAACATATTCTTTGTTTCATTTTTGCTGTGACTTGAGGGGAAGTTTAGAAATCATAATTTTTTGTTCAATCATTCATATACATTTATTTTATCATATTAATTACAATTCATTAAATAATTCAGTGAAATGTCTGAGCCATGCCTTTTGTATATAGCCTTTCCCTTTACTACTACTACTATTACTACTACAACTATTAATTGCTATTGAGAAAAACTGTCTCTTAGATGACCCTTCATTGTGTCTCCAAGGCTGTAAATTAACTGGCAGCAGATTGTACATATTTTTTTTTAGATTGTACATCTTTCTTCCTCAGAGCTGCTGGTGCATTTTGAACTGCCAGAGTGGCATGGCCTTCCACTAGAGCTCTCTCACCCAGTTGAATGTGGCATAGTTCATAGGGAGTTAGGCTGCTCACCCAAAGGTGATGTCTCTCAGGTTGTTCAAATCCCTCAATGATTCCAAAGGAGAAAGATGTGAAATCTCCCCCCTTGTGATTTACAGCCTCTGAAAACTCACTAGAGGACCAGCTATGAAGGAGCTCCAACTCAACAGCAATGCATTTTAGTTTATTAGATATTTATTAGTTTTTGGTCCCTCCTCCCTCCCTTCCCTCTGGTAACTTTTCAATATATTACCATTGTGATGGGAAAGTCTGCTGTCAGGAACCTCTCCAAAGTACTGACGAGCAATGGTGTCACTCTGGAGACTAAGGTGTGCCTGATAGAGGCCATGGTCTTCACAATCACTTGTTATGCATCAGAGAGTTGGACAATGACTAGGGAGGATAGAAGGAGAATTGATGCCTTTGAGCTGTGGTGATGGAGAAGAGTATTGAGGGTACCATGGACTGCTAGGAAAACAAACAGATTCATCCTGGAAAGGGTTAAACCGGGCGGCTCCCTGGAGGCAAGGATACTGAGGCTCAGTCTAACATACTTTGAACATGTTGTAAGGAGGGACCAGTCCTTGGAGAAGGACATCATGCTTGGGAGGGTGGAGGGACAGCCAAGGAGGGGAAGGCCCTCTATGAGGTGGACTGATTCAGTGACTGGGGTAATCGGGATGGGTGTATCTGAGACAGTGCGATTGGCACAGGACAGAGCAGAGTACATAGGACAGGCTGTTGTACATAGGGTCACTATGAGTCGCAAGCCACTCTACGGCACATAACAACAACAATGAGCATCTTCTTTTTTTATTCAGATACAATGTAAGGTTATAAAGTCCAAGAGACAACAGTCACAATTTCTGTCGTAATAATACATCCAGTCATTTATTGAGAGGAGTTCTGTTAGAGCAATAGTTAGGCACTAGGCTGCTAACTGGAAGAGAAGTGGCAGTTCTAATTCATGTAACAGTTCCACAGGGGGAAAATCTGGCAATCATCTCCCTAAAAATGTACAGTCTAGGAAATCATGTGAGACAGTTCTAATCTGTCACATTGCAGACTATGAATAAAACTTAATTCAACAATACATAACATCATCATTTATTTGGCATTCTCAGCATCTCAGTCACTGTGCCATGCTAAGCTGTACTTCACATGCACTATCTCATACAGAACAAGAAGGCATTTCCAGAGTAAGAGAGCACTGCATGGTTTAAAAT